TTTACAGCCTCCGTTTTGTCTTGGTCCAGTTCCGCTCGTGTTATTGGTTCAAATTTTGATCCAAATACAGAAATTGATTGAATTTACCATAACGTTCCAAACGTTCATTTAAAGACGAAATTAGAAGTGTATCTTGATCGGAAATGCTGAAGCCCGCTTCCAGGGACCACGCGACCAGTCATTATTTATTTTCTTATTCCGGTTATCAAGGTTGCGTAAGCTCAATGGCCCATTTTCGGTGGTCACTGACTCCGAAAAACTGAAAGTCTTTCTTTTTATTTACCGCCTGTGTATGTAAGGCCCGATATCAAGGGCTTCGAAAGTCAAGCAGTGAAAAATATTTGAAAAAAAAGGCGGAATAAACTGGCTAACACCCGTAAAACTGTTGTTAAGATATAAATTTTACAAATGCCTTCAAGCACATAAAGCAAAAAGGAGATTTCAGTGAGAGGCGGGTTGCAGGATTCCTAAGCGACGCTTTAGTGCCACTGTTGACTCGCAATATTTGCTTGAGGCCGCGCTTAAACCCTGTCAAGCTCTGGGTCGTTTGAAAATTAAGCCACAGTTTTTTCGGAAATGTATTCCCTGTAGAAGTAAATAAAACCGGAATTTACCATAAGCTAAGGCATAGTGACCTATTAAATGTTGTTGTTTCCGCCGCTGTGTTTGTCTTCAGTGAATCGCATGTGCACGGTAACAGATCCATTTCTTTCCATGGCAAACAAAATTATTCTCCATTTTTGGTTGCTTTTTATACCAGCGGCAGATTTTGATAAGCCTTCAGTTTCATATTGTAATGACGAAGAAGTTTTGCGGCCCCAGAGCACGTGGCAGATGCTCATAGAAAACATTCAGCTTTTCCGTGAAAAATTTAAATTTGTTTGCTGAAACACTTTGAACAAGCCGACTCCCTTCAGTGACGAACGAAAGTTTAAGTTTTAAGAGAAAGTAGAAAAAAATAAAGAACGCCAAGGATTTCAACCTCACGTCAAAACAGTAATTTGCGAAAATAACTTTCGCTGCCGTGTCTGATCTCCAGGCAATCAAACCTCGTACATAATTTTATGTAAATGTAGAATGATTTCTCTTCTCTCAGTTAAGGCGAAAGAAAAAAGGGAGAGAGAGTGGTACTTACTGTATGATAATTCAAAGAGTCCTTGACGGCAGGTTTTACAAAACTTCAAGATGTAGATGTTCCTTGGTTGGTTACTTTTCGGTGTGACTGACTGGTTTCACATGTTTGATATTTCAATTCCCTTCAATCAACATCCGGAGGGACATGACCTAGTGGGTCACGACGATCGGCAATAGATAAGTGGTAGTCATTGCGGTTGGAAGGCTTCCAATCGCAATGTCATCTATTGGTAGACATTACGGTGTTTAAGATATCTTCTTTTTAACTACAAAAACATTGCCTGTTCAAACTTTTATTCACCCTCTAGCCATAAGAAAAGGAAAAGAAAAAGGCGACGAAATCGCTTCAATGGTAACCTTTTCCTGCTTATAAAGTTCAATAAAAAATAAAAAACTTAAAGAAGTTGTTATGCTTTGTAAAGTTACTCCAACCAAACTCAAGCCCTTAAAAAAATAAAGAGTCCTACGATCGTTTCAGGTTCATCAGGCGATGCTGAAAAAATTAATTTACCGAAAATAATTTTTTCACACTTGAAGTTCACTTCAGGTGATCAGCAATACCTGTTGAGGATCCGATCGCGATAAGATCTGATTACAGCCTCGTTTTTCCCTTCACTCCAGTATTCCAACTTATTTCATTAGAGTTTCAATACGTCGAGGCTTTGTTAACTTTTCAGGGCTTGATGTTTTTGTCCAGTCTTTCCACCGCCAGCAACTTGATAGTACGTTCCAAGCAAAGCGAAAGAGGAAGTGGCGACGTTATTATTATCAAATCACCTGCAAGGTAATCTCTGGTCCATTGCTAAATTGTTTCAGCAATGTCTTAGACGTCTTCAGTTCAACAATGTATAAAGAGTCCTTGACGAAAATGTCTTAAGTTTTACAAAGACAAAAGATAGTCATTGCTGAAACCTGGATAAAAACTCTCGTGACCGGCGCTCACGAACAACGAACTTTATGTTTCACGCCCAGACAAACAACTTCTCCCTTGTCGCTGTCATGAAATATTTTCATTACTCCGGTGGCACGTGAGGCGCGGAAAATCATGAAATTTCCACAACTCTGCTCTTATAAAAACTCAGTGTTTCCCAAACTTAAACCGTTGCACAATTTCTGAACACAGATGGTTTTAATGTTTTTCATTCACTTTCATCTTGGTTGGCAGAGCGAAACTTATTGTAGGGCTTAGACTTCCTACAAAGTAAATGATTTTCTTAATGACCTTACACCTCGATTGATATGTTCTGTCAATGAGTTTCGCTGCCAGAGTTTAGACGTAATATCTTTTCTCCTCTCAAACAATGTCTCAATGGGGTTAACCGTTCACCGAAAAACGGCCGAAAAATCAAACCTGACAATTTTTTATCGTCAATCTTAAAAAAAAAAGATGACTGTAAAAACACACTTTCTTTGACAACTATAGTGAGAGA